GTGTACGATGTATAGGTGTGGTGACGAGTATCTATACGTTGGTGTCAAGAATGTCCGTGAGTCTTAAATTGTGATCGTTGTGTTTCTTAATAAGTACTACAAATGCCTAAATTGTTGATTATCCATGTTGAGCAAGGCTTATGATTATCTTCTTGGTATTTGTTTATTGTCGAGCATTGGCTCCAGTTGAGGTTCATTTGTGAAGTTAATTATTGGTACAAGTTTGGATATAGCTGACTCCCTCGCCGGGATGTATTTTTTCTTATTGTTGATTCCCGTGCCGGAATATATTTATTTTTATTGTTGATTTCCTTGTTGGGATGTTGTTGTTGCTATTGTTTGGTTGAGGAAAGAGTGATAAAGCACGAAGGGTGATGTCGTGCACATTCATACTTATGCATATAGTGAGGAAAGAGTGATAAAATACGAAGGGTGATGCCGTACATTTACATTGATATTGATGCATATGGTGAGGAAGAGAGATAAAGCACGAAAGGTGATGTCGTGCACATTTTTAATATTTATATGGTGAGGAAGAGAGATAAAGCACGAAAGGTGATGTCGTGCACATTTTCATTATTGATTGCATGGTGAGGATTGAGAGTAAAAGCATGAAGGATGATGTCGTGCACTTATTGCCAGTTTGTGATGATTTCTTGTTGTTATCGATTCAAGTGTCTTAATTGTTTCATTCTGTTATTACCGTGATTCTTTATGTTGGCATTCCCCTCATAGCATGTTACCCCACCTCGTTACTTTTGAATTGCTCTATTACTGTTATTCTGCTAGATATTGTTTAATTGTAGGTTATGTTGTTTGTTGTGTCCTAGCCTCGTCACTACTTCGCCGAGATTAGGCTCGACACTTACTCAGTACGTGAGGTCGATTATACCGATACTGCACTCTGCACTCTTTGTGCAAATTTCGATACTGGAGCATACGGACCTTAACTAGGGGTTGTTACCTTCAGTCCATCGGAGACCCGAGGTAGTCCTGCAGGCGTCTGCAGGCCTTGGCGTCCCCTTCCTATCTTGTTTCTTTCTGTTCTTTTCTATTTCAGAGACATACATGTATTTTCTTTGTTCAGACCCTATTTGTAATATTCTTAGATAGTCCGTGAGATTGTGACACAAGTTTTGGGTGGATTATTATTATGGATTCGTATTGGTATTAGCTTAAATGTTAAATTCAGTTCTTCCACACTTTTAGTTCCGTTATATACTTGCATTAATTTGGTAAATTGTTAAATATAAAGGTAAAAATGGTGAATAATCAATAATGTTGGCTTGCCTAGCAGGTTCAATGTTAGGCGCCATCACGGTCCCGACATTGGGCAATTCGGGTCGTGACAATATTATAAAAATATCTTTATTTAAATAATTATTTTTATATTACATGCATGAAATATATTTTACAACCTTTATTTTCTTTCATTTTGAATTGTGTAAATAAATTTTTGAATTTTTGTTGTTAATACTAAAATATTTTAAAGATAATAAAAAAAGATAAATATTTATAATTTAGAGAGTAAATAGGTATTTGACAATCTAAAATTTGGAAAATCTAATTAAGTGACCTTCTAAATACAATATAGGTATAGTTTTGTGACTTTATTGTTACAATCAAAAGAAAAGTGAATTTAGGAAATAATTTAGGATAGTTGAATGTTTATTTGAATAATTGACTCTCCCACGTCACACTCAATTGGGAGCTAAGACCTGTCCCTAGTTTCAAGCATCTTTCATAATATTCCACAAAAGCAAACACATGATAATGATATTGACATTAATCGAAGCTTCCGCTTCGCCATAGATTTTATCAATTCATTTTTTTCAAAAATATTTTGAAAACATAGTATTTGTTTATGAAATATGGTCGTATTATGGGGGGAAAATTCAAATATTTTTAGGGCAGTTTAGGGTAAAAAAATTATTCCACTCACAAAATTTTAACTTTTCTTCAAATAAAATACATGTTCAAACACAACTTCAATTTTTAAAAATTATTTTTTAACACAACTTCAAAAACTTATTTTTAAAATTTCTATCAAATATATGTCCACATGCTAGTGAATAGTCATGACTCACTGTCGGCAGAGGACATACTCCAAAGTTTGTTATCTGCATAATACAACAGTTGACACAGACAATTCTTAGAAAGTGCAAGGGCCGTCTTAACCCCACCAATATGCCATTCTTTTATTTTGTTTGTCTACCAAGGTGGTGCCCAACCCATGAGCAAAGCCAGCCTAGCCTATTCACAAACTAGNTCGCCTATGCACCTTTTATGCCTTAATACTAGGGAAGGGTCCATAATTCAGCTGACAAATCAATTCAACAAAATCAAATTAAAATTCAAACAATAAAAAGCTACAAGAAGACAACTAAATCCACGTAGTCTCCAATGTCTCCCATCACATTAATTAAGTATTTTTCTCACCCAACTTGCCTTGTTCAACTTGGCATCTTCACCAATTCTTTTATACCAAACAAATCTATTAAGATAAGTTCAAAATCCTCGAGCATGAATCAAATAGTAGTGGCGATAATTACGCCATTAAATGGACTTGTCATAAAGCTAGCTATGACTAAAACATTATATAATTACATAGTTGATGATGATCAAAACTTAACAAAGAATAGTTAAGCCACGTGCTTCTAGGAGTGTCAATAGATATTCGAAAACCGATTAAACGACCGAACCGTACTGCACCGAACCAATTTTTAGGTTTCTTTTTAAGAAACTGTAAGTTTTTATATAAATATATAACCGCACCAATAATTAGGGTAGATTTTTTATTTTATAAAAATAAACCGAAAAAAAATCGAACCGTACCGAATAAATTTTACATGTAGAAAATATATTTATTTAGTAAGTTTAAAAATAATAATGCATTAAATTTTCTTTGAGCCTTGGAATTATGAAAACTGTTACAAGCCAACAAGTAATTAAACTCAAAATACTAATTCCTAAAACCTATTATGTTACTTCACTTAAACTAAGTATATTTCAAGTATCTTTATTAGCAAGACACAAAGTATTCTAGCAATTATGAGTAGCAAACTACAATGTATTGAATATGTTTCCTTTCATATAATTTAGATTTACCTTTTTGAATATTTAATCTTCTATAGACTTTATTCTTGAGTCTCAGCTTGGTATATCTTTCAACTCTTGTGATTAATATTTTCTTTGCATTTGTTTAATTTCTTTTACGCTGTTGTAGAATAGTTGATGGATCTATACTCTAGCCATATTTTTTTTCTTTTATTCATCACCCTTTAAACAGTAAAAATGTCTAGAGAATTTTGCTAAGTCCTATAAAAGAACGTACGTTATTGCAATTCAACTTCTACTGGTGAATTTTACATGATATTAAAAAAATACCAAAAATTAACCGAACCGTACCGATACCGAAGAGAAACCGACATGATTGGGACGGTTTTGAAAAGTCTAATTTGGTTATACATAATAGAATAACCGAAAAATTGATATGGTACAAATTTTATAAAATAACCGACCGAACCGAACCATTGACACCCCTAAAGGACAACAACGACCCCGTAAAATTCCAGGGTCTGAGAAAGGTAATGCATATGTAGACCGTTTCCCTATCCAAAGGAGCAGAGAGGCTGCTTCCTTATATCCATAAAAGAAATTAGCACTGGTAGTAGAATAAATACAATACGAATAAAATTTAGTCTAATAAGACTATCTTCTCCTCTCCTTCGGATTACAATTACAAATGAAGGTACAAGAGTGACAACATTTTCAGTCACAAAGAAGAAGTCTCTCTTTTGACTCTTCACACTACATTACATACTGATTACATAACTTAGCCTAATGCTAAAAAGAAAAACCTAATAATCCCAAAGGAAAGAGGACAATCTTTTGGCCTATCTTTCCTCTTTGGGTTACTCAGCTTATTATTTTTCCAATATCAAATGAACACTCATTCATCACCTAATAAACATATTCACAAACAGGATTTGAATGACTGGAAAATATACTAACTCGTTCTCTTTCTTTCACTCTATATATACAAAACTAAAATGAATTTGTTTTGGTTTCTAACCTCTCCCTCAAAAATCTCTTCTTTTTAATCTCTTCGGTTGGTTTAACATCGGGATTTACCTAAGCAACAGCAGAGATGCTGCTGCGGCAATTGAAGCCTTCAATCCTCACAGCAGCTTGCTTGTTCCCATACTTCACCGGAACGCAGCCACCTCCGTTCTTACGAACGGCGGCGGAGGCTGAGGTGAAGGAGGGTGGTGGTGAAGGTGCAGCTGCCGCATCTGGAATTGCTAATATAGGAACAAAATTGTCGTTGCTGAATTGGGAATCCTGAATCAGAGGATTCGAAACCCTGCTAGGTGGAGACCCAAAATAGAAAGGCGGAGATGAAGCCATCTCAAAATTGGTTTTCTCCTCATCATAATTCCCCTGTTTACAGAAAAAAAAAAATCAAAATTCGTCAGCGGAAGTTATTGAATTATTAACAGTTCACGTCACCAAATAGATCATTATGAAAATAAAAAAGCAAAAAATTATACCTTGGTGAGGATGATATCCAGAAGTTCAGTTCCGGCTTTCAAATCGCAAGCCTCTGATCGAGAAGATCTGATGCGTTCATCGGAGTGAACATAGGAAGAATCGAAGAGCCCAATCCGGCGAGGTTTGGGGCAAACCACGGCACCACACACAGAGATGTCTCCTCGTCTCATATCTCCAACTCCAACACAACCAACAAAGGCCGTTTGCTGATAGGCGAATCTATTCATTTTTGTTTTTTCACAACAGATCTAAAGCCTGAAGCAACAAAGAAGACAAAACAAAGATATTATCAAACACTTGAGATCTCTATGACCATATCCACTAATACATATTTATATATATATATATGTTTGATATTACTAAATATATCTAATATGGTAGAAACATCCATCAAATAGGCTATGTAATTATGGCAAATTAATTGGATTAGAAAGAGAAATACAGAAATGGAAAGAGAGAAGGTACCTGGGTGGGTGAGAACTGGTGGTGCCTGTGAAAGGCGAAAATGGAGGAGAGAGATTTTTGGGAAGAAAATAATGGCGGAGAAGAGAGAGAGACAAAGGATTGGGGACACACCATTCATACAGGTGCAGGAGGAGAGAGAGAGAGACATAAAATAAAAATAAATAAAAATAAAAACCAGCGTGTATTAAATTGTTATGGTGTGATTCTGTACGGTTTTTCAGTGTGTTGCACGTGGATAAATCACCAGCAATTTCTCAAAAACTTAAAATACACACTATTTTTTACGTAATAAATTATTCTTGAGGAATAAATTGTTACAAATTGAACAAAAACAAAATTCCAAACGCTAAAAAAAAAAAAATACTGAGAGCAATTTATTATAGACCAGTCGCCCTCAATCTGATGCAGATTGGTAACAACACAAGACCAGTTCAAATAGCTCATTGACCTATTAACAAAACATACCAAAATTATGACCGTGGTGTGACTTATTCAGTTATTTGCCCTCAAACAGATTTATCAACTACTCCTATCTCTATAGTTTACTCTGATTTGACACATTTCTGTTGTGCCTTAGATATTGATTTCCTAACAATAGTTTAACTAGCTAAAAGAACTAAATAATGATCAGATGCTTCATTTGCTAAATGAGTAAATTTCAATTTCCACAAGTTATACTACTACTGCTACTTTATCTCCTTGGATTAACCCGTTTACATTCTTACATTCCAAGTCACTAGACTTTTCTTTGTTATCTTTAAACTACGTGAAACTGTATGGGTCAAAATCTATATTTAGAATATTTAAATCAAGATAGTATTAGGGGCATATGATATTCATTTGTAAAATAGAGACTTTGACTTGAGAAAGAGAATCGGATCTTATTTGCTAAGATACAAACATTACTTTTTTATTGAGATTTTTGTCGATACTTTTCTATTAGATCCAAGAATAACTCGAATATTCAAGGGATTGTCTATCATTCATCATTGTCAGAAAGAATATCCACTCACTCACTCCTTTCTTGGGTGACTAATTCATTCTATTTACTTAAATGTCATTTATTATTGTTCATTGTTATTAAATGCTACATTATTATTTCTGATTTGTGGGATATTTACTACATATCACTGCCATTATCTGACTATACTTGCGGAGTATTTGTTGCTTCTTTAAGAACCCCATCTAAGGATATATTATTGTTATCTAAGATTAACCCTTATTTATATAAATTTAATTATTTGAATAAGATCTATATTTTTTGATCAAACAGAAACAACTCCATGATTTCATTTAATTAGGTTTATAATTAAAGGGGGTGAGATCCAGTACCACTGCTTGTGCACTTGATTCATAGATTTGCTTTTTTATTTATGCCTCGGATTGATACATTCAATTGTATTTCTCTGTGATGGGCAGAAATGCGGTTGTACGCACATACCTAAATTTGTTCGATCATCAAAGTGCTGTAGTGATATAGAGGAGTTAAAGAAGGTAAATTCCTAGCCCATCCTCAAATAATTGTGTACTGAAGTCATTCCCCTTACTTTAAGACATCCTGACGTGAAAATGAAAAATTGACATACAAATAAATAAACTAATAATGTATATTAAACTCAAACAGAACCCTATACAAAAGGATGAGCATATTTGGTTTAAACAGAAAAACATGACAAAGTGAAATTTTTGCTTTTTTCAGTTCAACTTATTGGTAAATAGCATCGGTTTTGTTCGACTTTGAGTTTGAGAAAAGAATCTATCAAAGTGAAAAATCACATTTACATATGGGTAGGAAAACTAATTAAGAGTTTTGACTTAGGGGTCGCAATTTGAGCTTAAACTCATCCAATCCGCCTAAAGATTAATGGATTGGGCTACAAACATTTCATGGGTTTATTTGGGCAGAGCCCAAGTTAGACCATTTCCAACCCTAACACCAAATTTCACGCCAAAATGGTGTAACACCAAATTTACTCTAACCATTACACCATTTTTTACACTAAAAAGAATATTTCTTTTTATATTCTTATCTCTCTTCTATATTATATTATTATCTTCTATTAAATTTTATTTTTTATTTCCTTCAAATAAATTCGATCTTTTTTCTTTTTTTTCATATTCATCACATATAATTCACATTCACCACTTATATAATCATTTATTACAAAATTATTTTAAAGGATAAATCAACTAAAAGTGAAATCATTGATAAAAAATAATTAAATAAATATTACATCATAGTCAAATTTAATTTAAGTACCACATAAATATTCAACTTTCGCCTCTATTCTCCCATAAATGCTCGATTAATGCATTACGAAGTGCGAAATGCGCATCTTTATCCTTAATTTTTTTTGTGTCGAGCTAAAAATTGTTCAAATCGGTGATCTTCATCTACTGTCATTTCTCCCGTAGGAGTTGGACATTCACGTGCATCTTGAATTGGTGCATTAAGTTCACGCTCGTCCTCAATGAAAAGGAAGAGAATTGGGTGGAGCGCAACCAAAGATCGATCCAGTGTCGACTTCAAACAATTGAGAAGTGTCACGACCCAGTTTTCACCCTCGGGAGTCGTGATGGCGCCTATTTGCAGTAGCTAGGCAAGCCGTGAAATATAGAAATTACTAACTCTTTCATTTTTAACCCTTTTAACAATCTAAATTAACAGGTAATCAACATGTAAATATTAACGATAAATGAAATCAAGCGGAAGACTTAGTCTAATATAATAACCCAAAACCAGTACGACAATGACAACATACGTCTCTACCCGGAATTCAGTGTCACAATATCATGGACGGACTATGATTACTATAACAAATGTCTGAAAGAAATACAATCTGTCTCAAAATCAAATGAAAATAAAGTACATAATAGGATAGAAGAGAACGTCGGGCCTGCGGACGCTTGCAGGACTACCTCGGGATCTCTAGCTGGACTGAAGGCAGCCACCCAAATGCTATGGTCCAAGAGTTGCTCTGGGATCTGCACATAGTGCAGAGTGTAGTATCAGCACAATCCGACCCCATGTGCTGGTTAGTGTTTAGCCTAACCTAGGCAAAGTAGTGACAAGGCTAGGACCAAACTACGAAATAAACCTATGTAGTTATATAATATACAACGGAAAATAAACAGAAATAAACAAGTAAAAATGGGAGGGAGTACATGCTACGGGTTATACTAATATCAACAATAAATCAAGAGTGACAGCATAAGAACAACTTAGATTTCACAACAAAACGATAAGAAACTTGTATCAAATCTATAAACACCTTGTATCAGCAATTGTTACGGTGCGCAACCCGATCCCAATATATATATATAACAATACTGTTGCGGCACNTGCGGGGTGTATCAATATCAACAGTAAATTAAGAGTAACGATATAAGGACATCTTAGAATTCACGGAAAAACAACAAGAAACTGGTATCCAATATAAAACACTTTGTATCAACAATTATTGCGGTGCACAAGCCGATCCCAATATATATAACAACACTGTTGCGGCGTGCAACCCGATCCCAAAATATAATATTGTTGCGGCGTGCAACCCGATCCACATATAATATTGTTGCGGCGTGCAATCTGATCCACATATAATATTGTTGCGGCGTGCAACCCGATCCAAATATAATATTGTTGCGGCGTGCAACCCAATCCAAATATATATATCATTGTTGCGGCGTGCAACCCAATCCAAAAATATCATTGTTGCGGTGTGTAACCTGATCCACATATACAATCAACAACAATCATAGCAAAAGTCCCGACAAGGGATCAATAAGAACTACGCTATCCCAGCAAGGGAAATCGATAATATAAGTAACAACATCCCGGCAAGGGAGAAAAAGCTATAAACAAACTTGTTCCAACATCTAACTACCTCAGCCAACACCAATACTTAGTCATAAGTAATTTCCACGAGAATATTTATAATCCTCGCTCAATACAGAGAATCGTCAACTTAAGCATCCGTAGTTTTATTTAGAACAAATAAATTACAATTTAAGACTCACGGTCATGCTCGACACCAATGTATAGATACTCGTCACCATGCCTATACATCGTACACAACAAGAAGCAAGTAGAAAATAGGACACAACTCTTAATACCTCAAGCTAAGGTTAGACCGAACACTTACCTCGATGCCACGTACATAATTCACATTTCAATTATAGCTTTACCCCTGGATTCCACCACCAAATCGCTCGAATCTAGCCACAAGTTACTTAATTGCATCAATAAACGCTAAATAAATCAACCCCAATGCATGAAAATGAGTTTTCAAAATTTTTACCCAAAAAGGAAAAAATGCCCCCGGGCCCACATGGTCAAAACCCGAGGTTCAAATTCCCAATTTTTTGAAAAACCTAGGTTCTACCCAAAACACCCAATTTCCCCCATGAAAATCATTGATTTGAGTTGAAATCATGTTAAAAGATGTTATTGATTGAAGTAAATGAGTTAAAATTAACTGACAATCGATTTGGAAGAAGAGTTGTTCTTGAAAAATCGCCCTAGGGAGTTTGTGTTTTGAAAAGATGTGAAAATGGGTTAAAAATTCGTCAAGTATAAAAGTTGCAGGTCGCAGATATGGGAATTGCGAACCTCAACCTCTGCTAACTTGGTAATTGCGAAACAGGGCTCGCATTTGCGAATCCTTCAGGGAATTTGGAACTTCGCATTTGCGAAAGGGACCCTCGCATTTGCGAGGTCGGAATTGCGAAGAACATCTCGCATTTGCGAGATAAGGCAGGCCTGGGCTGGTTCACAATTGCGACCAAGCCCTCGCATTTGCGATGCGAAGCCTGCAAGCCTGATCATACCAGCAATAAAACCTGCAAATTTCTAAGTCCAAAATGCACTATGTGGCCTATCCAAAACTCACCCGAGCCCTCAGGGCTCCAAACCAATTATACACACAACCTCAAAAACATCCTACGGATTTATTCGTGTAATTAAATCACCAAAATAATATCATGAACATCGAATTAAACCCCAAAATCGATGAAATTTCTCAAAACTTCTTTAAACATCAAATTTTGCATTTAAGGTCCAAATCATGTCAAATGGATTCCGTTTCTTACCAAACTTTACCAACAACACATATAAATCATATTG